GAGAAGACTGCCCTAACCTACTGGGGCTCAAACGATGCCACCCAAAGCCCTGGGTGCTGAGCCTGGAGCTACAGAGTTTAGTTTTTGTCCTACTGGGTCCAGTGTCCCTCACCATGCCCAACTCCTCCCTTTAGGAGTGGGAATGTGCCACTGGATATCAGGAATATGTAACTTTAAATATTGTTATTTTACAGAGACTCATAGCTCTTTGCCTGTAGTTTCAGAAAAGCCAGTGGACTTCAGTGCCCTAAACAGTGTTTGAACTGTGAAGGCCAGGGAAGTTGGACTAGATACACTCTGTATTATGAGACAGCCTCCAGGGATTGGGGCAGAATGTTCTAGTTTAAATATAAAATGTGTCTTCATGAGCTCCTGTGTTTGAGCTCTCAGTCTGCAGTTGATAGTGTAGTTTGAGGACCTTGTGAGACTTGGCGAGGCAGTGCTCACGTGACTACTGTAGGCTGCTGGGGATTGGCTAATACCAATCATGAGGCAATGCTCACGTGACTACTGTAGGCTGCTGGGGATAGGCTAATACCAATCATCAGCTCAGATTATCTTCCTGATCTGCTAAGATGTGAAAAGTCATGTCAAAAGCTCCCGCTGATATGGACAACATGGCCCGAGCCTCCATGATGGACTTACCTCCCAGAGAGTGAGCTGAAGTAACCGTTCCCTCCCTTGGGCTACTTATGTCAGGTACTTGCTAGAACTGAGAACCCAGACAACACACAGTCCCTCTTACTTTCTCTCTGCTTAAAATCTCCATCTTTTTTTTTTTTTCAGTTATTTTCATTGCCGCTCTTTTGCTTACTTGGCTTTTTCCTGTACCGCTTCACAGTACACACATGTAAGGTCTTAACCAGGCCAATAGTTCTTTTTTTATATATATGATATGATGGTACGATACAATTCTGTTCTGATTTAGCTGAAACATTGCCGATTGAGCTTGTTATAGGTTAATTCTATGTCACATTATTACTTCGAAACTTTGACTTGACTTTCATTTAATAAACACCAGGACCTGACCCAGGCTCTTTTAGGGTCTTCTTAATCTATACAAAAGCTCTTAAAAGTAAGGTTTTTACTCCCCATTCTGTGGTGTGGGTAGCAAAGCAGCCCTGGAGAGGCAATGCGAATGTCTAATCCTTGCGGTCACAAGATACTGTGGCATCTCTGAGCCAGCATCTTCATACAGAGACTTTGAAGGCAGAAAAGCACAGTCTGAGAAGGGCCTTTCTTCCCTCTGACAACCTCTCCAAGAACAATCACCAAAAAGCTTTACCTGACAAGACTCAGCTGGGCCAACAGCCTTGAACCAGTTTTTGATGCGTGCACAGGAGTCACTGCTCAAGTGGGTGTGTCTTGGAACCTTCCAGAAACTGTAGTTCTGCTACTGTGGGAACGAGAGACCAGTTATCAGGCAGGCAAAAGGTAGTGGCTGCTACCATTGTTGAGCTGCAGGCCTCAGTACAAAGCAGTGTGCATATGTGTGAAAACACCACAGGGACGCTTACTAGTATGCACAATTAATGTGTAATTAATACATATTTAATGAAACCATCAGGAGACAACATAAGAAAACCTCCTATGAACAAGTACATTATAGAATTACAACTCTGATGAGTGTCACACACAGGAAGGTGTCGCGGTGTTATGGAGCAAAGATTTAGCCCAGTCTGGTCCTTTTTGTGTCTTCAGAAGACTTTGAAGCTAATATGTGCAGGACATTTCTGAGGTTAGGTGGCAGGGAGCTTGAGAGCATCTCAGGTAGAGAGAGGGAGAGCATACTGTGCTTGCATTCCCAGAGAAGACACAGGAATGTTCACCCTTCTTATTTATTGCTCTGTCTGAGAAAGGCCTTTGCCTGGGCGTAAGAAGAAATTCCGAGACTAGTAAGTGTGACCCTCAAATATAATAATTCCTGCCCCGGAATATTATAATTTCTGAAATTTTTCTTCCCCTTCCCCACCTCTTCCCTTCCCCACCCCGTTTATTCTGCACTGTCAGGGTTTCAGGTAGCTCAGGGTGGCCTAGAACTTACTATATGGCTGAGGAAGGCTTTCACTTCCTGGCCCTCCTGCTTCAACCTCCCAAGTTCCGTGCCACCACAACCAAGCTCACATTCTGTTAGGAATCAATCCAGACCTTACTGCATGCCAGGCAGGGATGCTACCAACCAAGCTACATCCCGAGCCTCAAATCTTTTTACTTTGACATATATAGAATGTTCGGTGTAAATAGAAAATGGTAGTTCTTTTTACTTTCTCCAGGAGCACACAACAACTCTAACCAGTGACTAAATCTGCCTTCTCTCGAAAACCTTCAATTTTTACCACAAAAAGAATGTGTTATGTGACAGACCTAAATTATTTTAAAAATGTAAATGGTAATTGGGTTGCCTAGTATCAACACATTCTGGTTAAAAATGCACAAGATCTTTGTTTTCACCTCGAAACATTAGGAAATTTTAGTGTGAGCCTGGCTGAGATTTGGCTATGGCTGTAGTGTGTCCACCCAAAGTTCATGAGCTGGAACACTGGTCCCCAGTGTGATGGGGTTCAGGTGCTGGGTCTTTAAGAGGTGGGGCCTGGAGCAAGATAATTAGGTCACATGGTCACAACGAGCCACAAGAGGGGTGCTAACCAGTGCAGAAATATTATCTCACCTGTGCAGCTCTGCGCCTATTTAAAACTTGGAAAAAATAAAAAGGGATTAGGGTAAGTTGGAAAGCAGTTATAGCCAGCACCAAACGACTCCCCTCGGTGATTACCAAAGGAGCCGACTGAATAATGCTGCCCACTAATGCCTGAGTCTGTAGTATCGGGGATAGAATGGGTGTGCTTGCAGACGTCCCAAGCTATCCATGTTGTGGCTTTCTTTGTACTTTCTTGTTTTCTGGCATCTTGTAGACCTACCCCGAGAACTGAGCCTGCCAGGAGTAGGCTCAGAATAGGATGAGATGCCTTTGACGTTCTACCACACACGTCTGTATTACTACCTGTTCCCCTCTGTATTTTACTCACTTCCTCAAAGAGCATTTTTGAACAGAGATTGTCCTAACAGATGCTATGATGTACTATGACACGACAGACTTAGTGTCTTTGGTTACGTGAATGAGCCCAGAAATTTCAATGAACCTATGTCATAGGACCAAGTCTTCCTAACTCCACATCTGACCGTATTAATTTTATGATCAGGCTTTCATTATTCACAATGTATTTTTTTTAAAAATGTTTAATACGACATCTGAGGATTCCGAAATGTTTTCTGCTTTTTAATTAATGCCTGGGGCAACAATTTGTTTGTGACTGTATTTTACGTCCATTTTGTGGGTATATTACACACAGACCAGGTGTCTCGGGACAGTACAAGATTCTCTGAAAGAGTTTTTGGACATAATTTCTCATATCTCAAAAACATATATTTTATTAAGACCATTGTCACTGTGGTTTCCCTTGACAGACGTCTTAAGTACACACACCAGGCGTGTTAAGATACTGTGGTTACAAAGGTTCCTGAGGCATGACTGAGGCCTAGGGAGGAAGTAGGTAAGGCAGCTAACTGAGTAACACATCAGGGGCTTTGAGTTGTCATCAGGATGGTGTACTCACGAAGCCAGGCTTTCCAGAATCATAGATCTCATAGAGCAAAATGAATTTGCATAGGAGGTGGGAGGGGGCATAGAAGAGAAGGACGGACATTGGGACCTGGGGAGGATGCTGGGTCTGTGTTATAGAGGAAGTTGCTGCAAACCGTAATTGGTTGGACAGGAGGCAGAGCTAAAGGGCAAGTGTTCGCCTAGCATGTGTGAGGTCCTAGGTTCAATTCCAAGCACCACACAGAGAAAACCCCCAGCAAAGCAAAATCTGTGGTTACGTACATACAAACATACTTATATGTATGTATATATAGCTATGTATATATGTATATATGTATATATATAGCTATATATACATACATACATACACACATATGTATATATATATATATGTATATAGTATGTAAATGAAAAAGGTTGATTTTGTTCAAAAATAAGGTGAACTTTGTGAATTCTTGAGAAAACGGATTTTTTTTCTGAGCAGAGAATCCTCTTACTTTCTTCTCGGACGTACTTTGATGAGTTCTCTCAAAGCTAATTTAGGTGAGGAGAGCCACCACGTCCAGTGTGCTTTGCTCCTCTGGCATAATTTCAAAGGAATCTCCTTTTCCCAGTTAGTTAACTGCATCTCCACAGAGGGGAAAATCTTCTCTGTCAACGTAACATCCTTAACAGGACTCCCGCTGCTCGGTCCTTGTATCCTGCCGTGGCAGCTGTGAACATATATACCGTCGCCTGTGAATGTGCAGTATAAATCCGACTGAGCATGCCCACTAATTGGGTCGAGCGCTCGATATAGACAATGCTGTCTTATAGTGGCCTGTGTGGACAGGCCCAGTCACAGGGTTAATTCTGCTTGAAAGCATCTCAGCAGCATCTTGAGAGTAATTACCCAACAGCAGTTTCCCACAGCCGGACCCAGGGCTTCAAAGGCTTCTGAGTTTAGAGCTAGAATTAACCTATATCTGAAACTTAACGTTCCCACAAGCGCTCTGTTCTCTCTTCCTCCTTATTAAGTGTATGGGGTTACTAAGTTCATGCACTGTGAGCTAAGAACCTGCTGGAAGATTACTTGGTGTTAGGTAATTGAAAATCTTTGATAAGAACTATGGACTGGACTTGTTTATTGCTCTATAATACAATTGAAGTTAGGTCGATCTGTAAAGAAAGATTGGAAATTTTGGAAAAGAAAATCCCTTCTATGAAAGGCAAACTTTGCAAGTTATATTTTTTCTCTTACTATGCGACCTGAATTACTATATGCATTCAATTGAGATGGTTGAAATAAGGAAATGATTTTCTTTTTTTGACCATTATATAGAAATCGATAATTACTGCACCTCCCACTCCAGATCTTTTATAATCTTTATATTAATTTTTCTTTTTCTTTGCTTTACAGGTCAGAAACCAAATTTGACTCTGGTTCAGGTATGTTTCCACTAATAATGTTATTCTGAATATATATATATACACATCTACATGATGCTTTGAAAAGTAATTTAGTATATCAATAACCATTTTGATATAAAACAGACTGAGCAATCTCATTTCGAAACACGAGCCCCACCTCAGAACAGGACTACAGGATACTTCAGACTATAATTTGAGATGTTCATTTCAGGATCTTTAATACTTTTGAAACAAGTGTTAATTGCCCTCTAACTGCAGAGCGCTCCCGTTTAAAAGCAGGAACGTCTGTTGCACACTCTTGCAGCTCGCAACAGAATATTACTTTGTAAATAGACAAAGCATCTTACATGTTGCTTTGAGTTGAACAGTATCTGCAAGTGATTGGGGGATGGGGCGGGGCGGGGGGAGATACATTTTAATCTAGCAAAGTCTGAAGGGTTTCGTACTGTAGAGTTGGAAATTCATCTGTGACATAGATGTTTTAATGTTTTATTGGGGGAAATCATGGAAAATTCAGATCACCTCAAGCTGTTGCTTTGTATCTTGAGACAGATACACAGTGGTACTCTCAGGTCAGATGCTTTCTGTCATTAAGCATGAACGTGGTCCTGTAGTCTGAGTCCTTCACCTGTTGTTGAGATCTGTGTACTGCCGAGGTCCCAGTGCTACTTACTACTAAAAAGGAAAATTTGTCTCACGTTGAGTGCCAAGGACTTTTGCCCTCTAATGCATTTTAATAGGTCAACATTAGTTTTCAATCCCAGTAGATAATAATTTTCAGGGAAAAACTATACAACTTGTTGGATTTAAAAGTCACACTTTTAGTCATGAGTTTCACTGTATCTTAGCCTAAAAAAACGCCTTAGCTTGTGGAGTGGCTGTAAATTGCTTCTGAGAGGGGTGTCACAGAACTTGCTTGCTTTTCCTTCTCAAGGGCCTGATTGTCCCTCTGCACCACAGCTGTGTGAGTTTCTCTAGTTTAGAGGGACTCTTAGCTGACGAAGTCTGTAGAGTTGGTCTAATAAATTCACCTAATTTAAATGTGAGGATTCCAAGACCCTTTCTAGTCCGAATGTTCTGGGACTTCTAAGTCACGTGTCACTATTGCAACAAGGTAAACAAGAGTCAGACACAAAGTCGTAACAGTATAAAGACTACAGATGAAATGACATTGAAGCTCCTGTTTGACCATTGACCCCGTGAAACTGCATCTGAATGAAAATGCTTTTAATAGTTGAAATATCTAAGCATAGTAATAAATAAATCAATGGAGATTAAAATTACACAAAGACTACATGCTTTAAAAAAACCTGTCCATCCGCAAATAATAAGGTAATAACTGTTGCTTATTGATTATATAATTCTGTTCTTTAGAAATCAGACAAGAAGTTGGTCTTAAGGTCCAAGACCTGGAATATGTGGCTTTTAAAACTAAGGAAGTCCGGTGGGTTCCTTTTGAAAATGAAAAGCTGTGAATAATGTACAAAACTGAAATATTAGGCTGCTATTGTCAAAGTCAAATAATTTATGTTAAGATTTTCAGTCCAAATTAAAGTGTGCTGCTAACTCCGTGTACAGAAGGCCAGTGTTTATCTCGGAAATAGTTATAACATCTGTTCAGGCTCACATTTCACTCCTTGGACCGAAGATTTTTGCCTACAACTCTCTTCTTCAGTTTCAGGTTTTTTAATGTCTGTTAGACAACATCTGCATATCTTTGAAAACTGCAGTTAGAGATATCTGAAGGCTCATGGGAAGTAGGAATTAAAAGTTTATCTGCACTTGATTTTTGTGTTGACCCATGGTATAAGTTTAGACGGTTTAAAATGAAGAAATAAGTAACTTTTCTCCCTTCCAAGCTCTAAGCTTACCACCAATGAGGAATCAGATGAAGGAAACACAGTGTTTGTTCTCTGGTGTTTTCTATCCTGCAAATCTTGGTGATGAATGAGATAATATGTTGGGACAATTAAGTCCATGACTCTGACAGGCTCAGCTTCTTTACTGTCCATCAGATGCAGCTCTGTTTAATGTTGTGCATGGATGGGCCAAGCAAGATCTTTTGGCTGCGGAATGGCACTGTGTTAAATGTGGTGATCAGTGACTAGCAAAGCCCAGGGTTTCAAAGTTTATCTATGTGTGTGTTTATATACTGTTTGTGCATACATATGTACATATATATGTATGTATGTATATATATAAAAGAAGCCAACAGATAACCTTCTGCTGTATTTTAAATGTGTGTGTGCATGTGTGTGTGTGTGGCGTGTACGTGCAGGTGTGTATGGAGGCTAGGGAAATAACCGTTGCTGAACTAAAGGCATGTGCCATCACATCTGACTTCGTTTCTCCGGCTGAGAGCTCGTCAACGAGGCTGGATCAATGTCTAGCAATTTCAAGGGACCTATTCTCTGCCTCTGGACGGCTGCGGTATGATTATAAGCATGTGGTAGCAGGCCTGGCTTTTTATTAAACATGTATGTCCTGAGGATCAGAATCAATCCTTCCTGCTTGCAAGGCAAGCACTTTACTGACTGGGCCGTCTTCTTAGCTTCTTAGAGCTCTTTAAGTTAAGTTTTTAAAATTAAAAAAAAAAAGAATGTATTTAATGTACGTGTATGTGTGCCTGTGTGAGTTTCTATACAGCCTATGTGTGCAGTGCTCTTAGAGGTCAGAAGAGGGTGTTGGATCTCCCAGAACTTGAGCTACAGGGGGTTGTGAGCTACTACGTAGGTGCAGGGAACCAAACCTGGGTCCTTCATAAGAGTAGTCTAGGCTCTTAACCACTGAGACATTTCTCCAGCCCCTGAAATTAAAAAAAAAAAAATTATGCAGAAAATTTCAATCATACTTAAAAGCAGGGAGAAGTTATCAGTGAGCACTAGCTACATCACTGTCATCTAAATTTTACTATCATTAACGATTTGTCAAAGTCTTGCCTTTTTTTTCTCATAATATTTTAAATTTTATGTGGTATTTAAAACCTGACAGCTATGGATTGTTCTGACCTACTGAATGGGGCCAGTTACATTTTGAGGATTTTTACCTGTTGTTGAAGTTTAGGCCACGCATAAATTATAGGTTGGAGGGTTGTGACGCTTCTGTGTTCACACCTGGAAAGCCATCTACTTAGGAAATCCTGCAGCAGGCCCAGAGGCCCTGTGTCCATTCTGACCTAAGAATCACAGAAATGTCCCATGATGCACATGATGGCTCTGGATGAGCCCCGGGCTCACGTTTCTCTGTGATTTCTGTGTGCGGGGTTCTACAGCGAATTCTCCATTTACGAATGTGTTCTGTTGGTTTGTGACTCAACGACCTGAAGTTTGGCTTTGTCAAGATGAGGATCGTGAGCTGTCCTTCTTTCTAGAGAAACTTGAAAGTCTCTGTGCTAACCTGAGTTCCCATAGTGCACGTCCCTTGCCTAAGAGCTTGTGGAATTGGTGATTGTATTAAACAGACTTCCTTTTATGTTCGGCACTAGCAAGGAGCTGTGCTCTTCAGCCCACCACCCAAGCAGGAATCTAGCTGATGCCAGAGGAAGCAGAGCACTGGGTTTAATGCAGTGATCAAACATGAAAGCCGTATATCAAATCTCAGGAGAGACATGCTTTTGAAGGCGGAGAACTGTGGAGTATACTGCTCGAAAGACTATATAAACAGAACCCCGGAGGTCAGGGCGTGGATGCAAACCAGTTAAATAAGGAACTCTGGCTTTGCTCTCTGTCATCTGGATGGGGGTCACATGCTAGCGTGCACAGAGCTCAGAGTGTGAACTTTGCTGGAGCAAAGCTTGGCACCTTTGGAAAACTCATTAACTCTTTCAGCCCACAAACCAAAACAATTTTTCTTAACAAAGGCTCCTAGAATAGCTAGAAATAAAATGGGAAACACGTGCTCTTTTGTCCATTCTGAATATGCCCCTTAGCAGAAGTGTCCGCGAACAGAACAGGGAAAAGCTGGATTGAGGAGCGGTTAAAAAGACTCAGGTCTTCAGTGAAGTCGAAGAACATGCAGGTGGTTCACCTCCTTGCGGAATAACTGCAAAAACACGAGTGGGTTTTATTCTCGTCTAAATTCTAGGTGTCAGGCAAAGACGTGGTTTGAACTTACTAGTCAACAATGCAGTAGAAGGTTGTGATTTTTCTAAGATTCTGGTGTTTACAAGTTAATATATATCTGTGAAAGACTGCCTGTAGCCGTATGCTGTCGCTTGAGACATCTCAGGCAGTGTTTGGGCGAAAAGATGAGATAGCAAGCTAAAAGGTATAGTTTCATGGCCAGTAAACATTCAAAACAAAGTTCTCTAAAGGAAACGGTAAGCTTAGGTTTTGCACCCATTGCTTCTGCGCAGTTTGGAGCTGCTCATAGAACCCAGCATCTCAAAGGTATAAGATTTCATGAAAGCAAATTGCGGAGGATTAGAAAGCCTAATGAGCTTGGCCTAGTGTGGAGAGCAGAGGCAGGAGCCCTCCCTCTCTTAAATAAAGCCCGGGCGGAGAAGGTCAGAGGTCCTAAACAACACCGTATAAAAAGGCACGGGAGAATATAATTATCCCTAAGGGTGGAGAGAAAAATCCAAGGAATAAAAAGCACCTAGTGTCGCCGTTAGCATCTTTAGTTAAAAGGGATCTCCAGCACCGTGGTAAGGAAATCAAAGAACAGACTCTATTGATGCCGAAAAAGGCACTAAAGTGCAGAGCAGAATATTATGAGAGGCAGCACGGCCGGCCGAGGTGGAGAATCTGGGCGTGGCCCGAACTAGAGCTCTAAACTTACAAACAAGGCAATTCGGCCTCCTCAAGAAATGTCAGTGAGGAAGATGTTTCCCACCCTTGCGTGTCTAGGCTGACAGCACATTTTAGCCTTACCATTTTATGATTTAAATTTCGTTTTTTTCTTTCTTTCTTTTTTTTTTTTTGGTGGCAAACTTAAAATTATAATAGTTTAATTCAGTTGTCTTTAATAACATAAGAAAATGAATTAATGGGTCTTTACGTGTATTTTGCTGAAAAAAT